TGTGTGTCAGAGAGAGAGAGAGAGAGAGAGAGAGAGAGAGAGAGAGAGAGAGAGATTATGAAAGCCAGCTGTGGGGACTCACTCCACTAGGATATTCTGAAGAGGTGGAGGCAGGAGGGTCACAAGTTTGAAGCCAACTTGGACAGTACCTGGCACTAGTGAGTTGGCTCAGTAGGTAAAGGCACTTGCCTCTAAGTCTTACGATAAGTTTGATCCCTGGAACTGTTACGGTAGGAGTGAATCAACTTCTGTGTACTATGTATGCAATATGGCATGCCCCCACCAAATAAATTAATAATATTTTTAAAAGAACTTAAGAGTAAATAAATGTAAAACAAGCCTGCATGTCTCTGTGATCAAAGGCGCATGTCCACAGCTTACCTACTAGTTGTATTGCAGAGCTCTGGGCTTTGTTGAGCACATCTCATGTCCCATGCACAGCTGCGGTTGCTGAACACAACTGATAGCTTTAAGATGTAGGGACTAAATCGTCCTCACAGAGGCTTCCTCAGAGGGCGGCTGATGGGAGCAGATGCAGAGACCCACACCCAAACATTAGGAGGAGCTTGGGGAACCCTGTGTAAACGGGAGGAAGGATTGTAGGAGCCAGAGAGGTTGAGGATGCCAGGAGAATGCAGCCCATAGAATCAGCTAAGCAGCACTTCTAGGGTCTCACAGAGACTAAAGCAGCAATCACGGGGGTCTGCACTAGGCCCTCTGCATACATGCTGTGATTGTTTAGCTTGTGGTTTTGTGGGATTCCTAAAAGTGGGAGAAGGTCTGACTCTCTTGCTTGCTCTTGGGACCCCTTTTCTCCTAGTGGGTTACCAGGCTTAATATGAGAGCTTATACCTAGTCTCACTTCATCATGTTCTCTTGATACCCCTGGGAGGCCTGCTCTTTCCTGAAAGGAAATGGAGGAGCAGTGGATCTGGGAGATACCAGAGGCAAGGGGCAGACTGGGAAGAGTGGAGGGAGGTGAAACTGTGGTCAGAATTAACGTATAGGGAGAGAATAAACAGACAAGTGTGTAGGGACTATCGATATCTCAATTTTGAGGCAGAGAAACAGATAGCCAGGGTTCTCTGTGTCCAGTGTCAGAGCAGCTGGTCATGACTGATAGAGTTACAATCAGGGGAGGAAGATCTGAGATGCTTCTGCTTACCGGCTGGAAATATGAGATGATACATAATTGCCATCAGTGTTTGCGTTCCATTCCTATGTAACTCTTGAGGAGGTCCCAGGTTCAGCAGTTCTCTGCACCCAGGTGCATGCCCACCCGTGAGCCAGACCTTGAAGGCCAGCCAGAGCAACCCAAGACCTTTTTCCAATGACTCACCAACATGACTGCCTAAACGTGTGCTGAACAAGGACAACAACAGACATGCCACAGTGGACTGGGAAAGCCCAAGGGCCTCAATCCTGCACAAAGAATTACGGGCAGCTCGGGAACACTGAGAGTGGGAGAAATAGTCTTCCCCAGAGAAGACTACACCAATTGGCTATCAATACCAAACGGCCAGCCCTGAAACATACACATTGTACACACTAAACATAACATTGTACACACTAAGCAGGCTACATATACATATGTGCGTGCAATAACAATTAATGGAGGAAAAGGGTCACATATTTGAAAGAGGTCCAGGAGGGTGATTTGGGAGCGAGGAAGAGGAAAAGAGAAATGATATTATTATATTATAAGAAAAAAAAGAGAAACAAACAAAACCTAAAAGCAGACCATGGTTCTTTTCTTTGCATACTTAGCAAGGCTCTGCACCCTGGTCCTGTGGCTAGCTGCTGCTGCAGGCTGCTCATCGTTTGTATTTAAGGGTGGCAGAAGCACCCCCTATTCTCCTGTGCCTTCAGCCTGGGGTGTCTGCATCATGGGTAAAATGTGTGTGCTTGGTAGGGCCTGCTGATTCTTGGCGAAATAACCTGGATTTATTTTTAGCTATCTAATCCTCACTTGCTTCATTGTGTGGAATGTCCTGTTCTCTGATAGACTAATAGTTTTTTTGAAAGAGGCCCTTTCCCAAGGGATGTCTTCCAGTCACATTCTTGGCTTTGGGTCCCCCCACTCACTTTATCCAGGGGTTCTTAAAAGACTATAAATTATAGCTCTTTGGTTTAGCTGTGTACACACACACACACACACACACACACACACACACACACACCTTAACTGTACTGGTTTCCTCCTCCATACACAGCTCAAAGCAGGCTGTTCCTAGCTGCCACCCACACACTGCTGTTTCTTGCCCCCACAGCCCTTAGTCTGAGCCTGGCAGGACCAGTAGCCAGCCATCACCACCAGTTTCCAGTATCAGGTCTATAATCTGTTTCCAAAGGTTTCCACACCTGAGGTACTAGTTCGTGTTTAGGAGACAGATCCCAATGGATCTGTGGAAAAATGGCCCTGCTCCCCCCCACCCCGCCTATCAGAGAGAAAGAAGGGGGTCTTAAGAGTGTCCCTGGGAAAGGGGCCGAGGAAGTCACTCTTGGAACCTCACATGAGACAACTGGCAGTGTGAAGGTGAAACCTGAGACCCTGTACCTAGAAATGTACTGTTAGAGTTTGGATCTTGACTGTCCACCAAAGGTCATGTGTTTAAGGCTTAGTCCCCAGCCCATGGTATTGTTAGAAGTGGAACCTACAGGCCTAGGAAAAGAAAAGTTATTGGTGTCATGCTCTCAAGGGAGATATTGTGATCCTACCCCCTCTCCCCACTTTCTTTGCTTCCTAGCTACCTCGAGGTGAACAAATTCCCGTCTTTCGCTCCCACCGTGATGTGCTCCCTCACCACTGGCTAAAAAGTAACACAACTGATGGACCATAAACCCTCCAAAACTGTGAGCCAAAACAACCCTTGTATCTTTATGAACTGATTTAACAGGGATATCTTTTACAGGAACAAAAGCTAATCATTGCACATACCCTCCAGATGGTCCTGCCCAGCATGCCCTGAGTGCTCCCAGAAACTAACATACTGCTCAGAGACGCACCCTGTTCAGTGGTGTAGCCATAATATGTTGTCCACGTTCCTGTAAATAGTCTCACCCATGACCCTGTGAAAAGTTTCTCACCCATGCCCCTGTGAATACACTTACTATGCTCCTGTGAATAGTCTCAGACATGCCTCTCTGAATAGTCTCACACATGCCTCTCTGAATAGTCTCACACATGCCCCTGTGAAGAGTCTCACCTGTGCCCCTGTGAAGAGTCTCACCTGTGCCCCTGTGAAGAGTCTCTCACATGCCACTGTGAAGAGTCTCTCACATGCCCCTGTGAAGAGTTTCACACATGCCCCTGTGAAGAGTCTCTCACCTGTGCCCCTGTGAAGAGTCTCAAACATGCCCCTGTGAAAGTGTCTCATCCGTGCCCCTGTGAATACTGTCTCACCATGCTCTGTTAGCAACTCCAGTGAAACTCATTGGTTAACAGAAACAAGACATGAAAGTAGAGCGGGAACTAATTGGCAAGAGGAAAGGATCTGTGTGGGAGGGAATAATGGCGTGAATATGATAAATAAAACATATGCACGTATGAATTATCACAATGAAATCCTTTATAACTTACAACTAATGTATGCTAATAAAACATCTAAAAAAGAAAATTTATTAAAGAGAAAGAAACACCTACCTTCAAGTGGAATTATTACTGAAACACAATTACATCACTGGAAAGGTGCATCTAAGCAGATTGGTATTCGGGCATCCTGGGGCCTGTATCCAGAGGGTACAGATAGAGAGTTAGCTGGTGGGAAACTATGGGAGGACATTCAGATCAGGGGACAGCATATACTTGCAGAGGGGAAGTGGCTTGAGGGACTAGGGTGTATTGGGGACAGGGACAGCCTCAGTGTAGCTACTTCTAATGGTGGGCCGTGAGGTCAGCCAGCCTATGAAGAAGCCTAGAATATCTCCCACGGAGAGTTCAGGAGTCCAGGGGGAATGTTTCAAGAACAAGTTAACTCCAGGCCTTAATCAGCCAGATTTACATTTCTCTTGGGTCAGTCAGTGTCGTTGGCTGGTGCTAGCAGATGAAGGGAGACGGGCTTTCTCCGCTGCTGTCCTATCTTGAGAATTAGATTGATAGGATACAAGTTAATAATAATAAAGCAGGCAAATGTAATATGAGGGTTTTTTTTTTTTATGATGCAAGGGCCTTTAAAAAGGAAGTAAAGAACCAGCAAACCTGATGTGTGGTGATGGGAAGGTGACTCAGCAGTTAGGGGACTTCCTGCTCCTGGCTCCCAGGACCCACATGGTGGTGATGGAGAGGAGGCCACAACTGCCTGTAACTCCAGTCCCAGAGGATCTGACGTCCTCTTCTGACTTCTAAGGGCACCTGTGAGCAGTTGGTGAGCACACATACACTCAGGCACATACACAGATAAAGATTTTTTTAAAAGAATATGTTTTGTATAACATTGAACAGTGAGGCTAAAAATTAGACAAGAGACAAAGTTAGTGAGGGGAAGGACAGTTAAAGGAAAACGAACACAATTGAACTTCTCTCAGCTGTGACTCTGCCTTGAAGTGTGTTCCGTTCCTCCTGGTATGAAGAAAGCATCTTTCTCTTCGGGGTTTTTAACCTGCCATCTTGAGGAACAGAGAGATAAGTGTGCTTTACTCATATCTGCTGTTCTTTAAGTTGTCCTTGAGGTGACCCCTCTGTCAAAGCGGCATGCTGTGTGGATGGCATATTCCCTGTCCTTCCCAGGGATAGAAGGTTTTTGGTGTCCATGGGTAACCCTGCTGAAACCCAGGGATCCAGTGTGACAGGACTTTGCTATCCTATAATAACATGCAGCTTTGGGGACCCCACTGAACCGGGCGTTGGTGGCACACGCCTTTAATCCCAGCACTAGGGAGGCAGAGGTCGGCGGCTCTCTGTGAGTTCAAGGCCAGCCTGGTCTACAGAGCAAGTTCCAGGACAGGCTACAAAGCTATACAGAAAAACCCTGTCTCAAAAAAAAAAAAAAAAGAACAAAAAAAACAAATGAATAATAAAAAGGGGGCACCCCACTGCATGACTAGGGAGCTGTGGCCCCTTACTGTTGACTGGATGTGGTTTGTATCCCAAAGCTCCATGTACTGAAAGTTTGGTTTCTAGTGTGGCAGTGAGATTTTCAAGGGGTGGGCCCAGAAGGAGGTTCTGATTTCCTGTCTCACCCACCATTGGAGCATGCTCACAAGCTTCTCTCCGGGGAATCTATCTGCTGTGACGTCACACACCCAAAGTGTCCTCACCTGAGTCAGGACTGTGCTATTTAAATTTTTAGCCTCCAAAACTGTAAACTAAACAACTTTTATTTTTTAATAAGTTCCCAGCTTCAGGTATTTCATTACAATAGCAGAATAATATGGACTTCACGCCCGCTTTGCCATGCTCAACAGGAGAGCACACTCTTTATTCCCGTGTACAGACTGTTCCCCAGTGCTAGTCCCACCGTCTCAACCCAGAATTTGAGAGGCCAAAAGAAAGGCCATAATGCTCACCTTCCCAGCACGTGGGAGAGGAGAGTGAAATGGGGCTTCCGGCTTCACTAGAGCGGTACCCAAATGTTTGGAAGATTATTTTTATTGTTTTTTAAATTTTTACTTGTTATCATTGTTGTTGATGATGATGGTGTTATTTGTGTATATGATGTATTTGAGTGTGGGTGTGCACATGGGTCAAGGGGCAATTTTAGGAATTTGCTCTCTCTTTGCATTTTGTTGAAACAGAGTCCCTCTTGACTTCTGCCATGCTGCTGTCTCCAGGCTAGAGGTTCTCTTTCCATCTCCAGTCTTGCCATAGGAGTGCTGGTATGTATCACTACATCTGGATTTATTTGTGTACACCCAGGCTTGTGTGGCAGGTGCTTGCACCTTGCCAGCCCAGACCTTTTTCAAAAAAATTTAATTAACAACTTATTTTTTTGTGGTGCTGGGCATAGAACCCAAAGTCTTCTGTGTACTGGGAAAGCACTCTACCAGTGGTCTCTTGGTGTTTTTTGAGACAATATTGTAGAGTTACTATGGCTATAATGAAACACCATGACCAAAAAGCAACTTGGAGAGGAAAAGATTTATTTGGCTTACATATCCAGGGTCACAGTCCGTTAAGGGAAGCCAAGGCAGGAACTCAAACTAGGCAGGAGCTGATGCAGAGGCCATGAAGGGATACTGCTTCATGGCTTGCTCCCCATGGCTTACTCAGCCTGCTTTCTTACAGCACCCGGGACCATCAGCCCAAGGATGGCCACACCCACAATGGGCTGGACCCTCCCCCATTCATCACTAACTAAGAAAATGCTCCACAGGTTTGCCCTACAGCCCAGTATTACAGAGCATTTTGTCAACTGAATTTCTGTCCTCTGGGATGACTTTAGCTTGTGTCAGGTTGACATAAAACTATCCCGTATAGACTGGATCTTACTATGTAGCTCAGGATGAACTCATAATCCTCCTGCCTCAGCCTCCTTTGGTGCTGGGACAACAGTCCATAGCACTATGCCTGGCTGAGGCAGAGGACATGGAGTAGCCCTGGAGTGTTTTGAATAGAAATATTGTCATCACATGGCAGCAGACTGTTCTTCCTAATGAAGTAGACCACACATGAGTACTTAGACCCCAGAACAAGCAGATGACTTCCCTGGACCCACTGGACAGTGTGGAGGCTGGGGATGTGCCATAATGCATCAGGCTCTGCTAAGACTGGAGAATTTCTTTTGCTAGGAAGAGTCCTAAAGGGGAGGGGGGGTGGGCTCCCTCATCACCCAAAGCAAAGGCCACTGTGAACAGGATGCCTCAGGGAGTCTGACACCCCCACACACACACATACACCCAGGGGGCACTATATTAGACCCTGACTGGGTGGAACCTGGATCCTTGAGCTGACTCTGGAAGCTTCTGCCTCCAGAACTCCTGCCTAGTTCCTGCTGCCCTGGCTTCCCAGCAGCCCCCAGGGCCAAGACCTTCTTCCTGCTGCTTGGCCTCTGCATTGCCCATGGCTGCATTACCTCTCCAGGCTGCCTGCTACCTGCTGAGGCTTGCCCATGCTGGATCTATGGCATCTGTACTTGCCTGCTTATCTAGTTCCTGCTGTGTTAGGCAGCTGCCACCCCGTTTTGCCAAATTTCTGTCAATCCCCATGCTTGCCACCTCATTGCCTCACATTGACTTGGAAGTAGTGTGTGTGTGTGTGTGTGTGTGTGTGTGTGTGTGTGTGGTGTGTGTGTGTGTGTGTGTGTGGCCACTATATTCCCAGCCCACTCCCAGACTGAGCCCAGCTCATAGCCTTTCTAGGCTCTGTCCACTGACTCCCTCATATCAAGGGTCCCATCTTCATTTGGGCCCATACCTTCTTCACCAAAGTGCATTCCTGGACATCCAGATGCCATTTCTTCTGCCAGCTTGCAGCCAGTCACACTGCAGCTCACACACACACACACACACACACACACACACACACACACACACACACAGAGTCACCCTGCTGGAGAAGATTTGACCTTGAAGCCAGTCTCTTGGTTTCCTGTGCCTGTGGGGCCAGGAAGATCTGGCTGTGAGAACAAAGAGCCTGTCCCACTCTTCCTCAGCTGGGAGAACCATGTTTCCTGGGAGGAACTTACCCTCCCTACACACTGGCAACTGGCCTTTCTTCTCAGGCAGAGAAACCAGCAGTAGATCTGTAAAGCCAGGGGCCAAACCTCAGAACTCATCAAGGTTAAGCTTCCGTTTTGCTCTTGGGAATTTGAGGGTCTTGTGGTTAATGGGGGCAGAGGTATGAGGTGAAAAGCCTGCCTCGAGAGGCTGGGGCCAGCTTGGACACAGTGTTTTTGAGTGCACCACACCCAGCTCCCAGAGTGACAAGCCAAAGGCCAGGCATGTGGAAGCGTCAGTTCTAGTCCAAAACAAAACTCCCTTGTGTTTTCACCAGTTTGGGCTTTCACCAGGATTAAACACTTAGCACACTGCTACTGTTCAACTGCCTTCCCTCTAGAGTCCAGACATTGAAACCTAGTGGCCGATGACATGGTATCGTCAGGCGGGACTTCAGGCTCAGTTGGGAAACTGTTTGCCCAGTATTTACGAAGCGATAGATTTTATCCCCAGCACATCAAAAACCGAGCGACCTAGAATGCCAATACTCAAGAGGTGGAGGCAGGAGCTACAGAAATCCAGTGTCATCCTCTGCTGCTTGGTAAGTTCAAAGTCACCTGGAATACATGAGCTCATGTCTCAAAAGGGAAGAAAAATAGGGGACTGAAGAGATGGCTCAGTGGTTAAGAGCACTAACTGCTTTTCCAGAGGACCCAGGTTCAATTCCCAGCTTTCAACTGTCTGTAACTCCAGTTCCAGGGGAGCCACACCATCTTCTGGCCTCTACAGACATCAGGCCTACATGTGGTACACAGACATACATGCAGGATAAACACCCATCCACATAAAATAAAAGTATCTTTAAAATGAATAAAGAGTGGGGCTTTTAAGGAGAGATGAAGGACCCCCATCGGAATGGATGAAGCCCTTATAATCAGAGACTTTAACGGGGTTTGACAAAACAATAATCAAAAGTGTTTTCAAGGGAACCACTGGGGACTCAGGGCTTCTCCTGCCAACAGAAACATCCATGGAGTGACGTGAATGAAAAGTTGGAAATGACATGGACTAGGTAGTGTCTTAGGGTTTCTTTTCTTTTCTCTTTTTTAAGATTTTATTTCTGCCTGCAAGCCAGAAGAAGGCACCAAATCTCATTATAGATGGTTGTGACCCACCATGTGGTTGCTGGGAATCGAACTCAGGACCTCTGGAAGAGCAGACAGGGCTCTTAACCTCTGAGCCATCTCTCCAGCCCCGTGTCTTGGGGTTTCTATTGCTATGAAGAGACGCTATGACCAGGACAATTTTGTGGTTGTTGTTGTTTTTTAGAGACAGGGTTTTTCTGTGTAGCTTTATAGACCATGCTTGCCTCAAACTCAGAGATCTGCCTGCCTCTGCATCCCAAGTGCTGGGATTAAAGGCATGTGCCACCAATGCCCGGTGACCATGACAACTTTCATAAAGGAAAACATTTCATTGGCACTGGCTTACAGTTCAGAGGCTTAGTCCATTATTATCATGGAGGGTGGTGTGCAGACAGACATGGTGCTGGAGAAGGAGCTGAGATCTCTCAGGCAGCAGGAAGTGAACTGACTTGAGCTTCTGTGATCTTAAAGCCCACCCCCACAGTGACACACTTCCTCCAGCAAGGCCACACCCACTCCAACAAAGCCACACCTCCTAATAGTGCTACTCCCCATGGGCCAAACATGCAAACACATGAGCCTACGGGGGCCAAACCTATTCAAACCCACAGGTCGTCTCATCGTCCCCCATCCTGTTGGTGACCCTTTCCCCTCCCTGACCTACAGCTGAATACAGATGTTATATTGTGTTCCCAGAGCACCTGGAACTCTAGGCAGCCTTAGGAGCAAGTTCTGACCAAAGAGACAAAAATTCAAGATGTGAGGACAACTTCTCAGAAGACTATTTATTTATTTATTTATTTATTTTTGGTTCTTTTGAGACAGGGTTTCTCTGTGGCTTTGGAGGCTGTCCCGGAACTAGCTGCTGTAGATCAGGCTGGTATCGAACTCACAGAGATCCACCTGCCTCTGCCTCTGCCTCCCGAGTGCTGGGATTAAAGGCGTGCGCCACCACCGCCTGGTCCTCAGAAAACTTTTTAAAGAAAGTTTCCTCAACCAAGAGATCAGCCCCTCCCAGCCTGCAATGTGAACATGATGGCTGCAGAATGCCGGGCCAGTTTTCTCCATGAAGCAATCACAAGTTAGACACCGAAATGTGTTCCTCACAGTTCTCTGACATGAGAAGTTCAGGGTCAAGAAGTCACTATAGAAGACCACCCAGGCCTGATTGGGATGGAAGAAGTAGTCCTTGGTGCCTCTGGAGCTGCCCATGGCCAAGCTTCCCTGCTATTCCACTGTGCCACACCCGCTCTGAGAACAGTAGTGCCCTCCCCTAGCCCACACCCTGCTTGCTCTCAATCCTCTTCTACACCCCTACACCTGTAGGTACAGGGCCTGAAACCTGGTGCTCTGGTGCCTTATTCTTGAGGTCAAGGCTGCCTGCCTGTGGTAGATAGGGAGGGCGGGGTACAGATAGCCATGGCAGGAATGGAGTCTTGATACCCCTTCCACACCCTGTACAGAAATCTCAGAAGGGTGCGGATAAGGGGTGCCTTGTTCCCTCAGGTAAGGGTTGCTCTGGGGACAAGGGCCTGTGGTGGCCTGGCTCCTAGTCCTCCTCTCCCACTAGAACCCCCAAAATCCTGTATCCTGACCCTGGAGAGTCTTGTTTAAGGACTCTGAGGGTGACCCAGACGTTTGCAGATGGTTTTGACAGGAAACTTGGTGGACATCCCAACCCTTCCTTGGTGGCCAGGCCTTCTCTTTGCTCCTGTCCCATCCTTTCTTTCCGGCTGAGCAAGCAGGGGCCTGATGCTCCATGGCCCCCACCCCACAAAGGTCTTGCCCTCCAGTTAAGGATGTAGGGGACTTTAATGTTACCAGGAAAGACAAGAGACCCTATGGGAATGAGGGTCTTGGCCACTGTCTGTGATCTCAACAGCATAGAATGTCTTCATTTTGTTTTTTGAAACAGAGTTGTATGTAACCCAGGCTGGCTCCCAACCCACAATGTAGCTCAGGATGACCTTGAACTTCGGATATTTCTTCCTCTATGATGGGATTACAAGTGTACACCACCATGCCCAACTGTAACAGCTGGCATTTCTTTAGGTAAGGATAGGTGACCCAGAAGCCTCTCCCGGTTTTATATCCCTTCCTCCCTCCCTCCCTTCCTCTCTCCCTCCCTCCCTCATGTTTTGGGGCACAGATGGCTGCATAAGTCGTATATTATATTGTTACTTGCAGGGGAATGTGCCCACACTGTATGTTTTTTTGAGATGTCTTTGTTTCAGTGCACTAACTCCGTATCAGATAAATACACATGTCCCAAGGAAATCCTCATTTTGGGCTGTGTGTGTGTGTGTGTGTGTGTGTGTGTGTGTGTGTGTGTGTGTCTGTGTGTCTGTGTGTTCATGTATGTAAATGTTATTAATGTTAATGTAATGTCAGTCCAGAAGACAACCCTGGATGTCATTCCTCAGATGCTGCCCACTTTCTTTGCCTGTTATTGTTTTGCTTTGTTTTGTTTTATGAAACAGGGTCTCTCACTGACCTAGAACTCAACCAATCAGGCTAGGCTGCCTGGCTAATAAGCCCCAGGGATCAGCCTATCTCTGTCTGTCCAGTGCTGGGACTGCAAGCAAGCACCACCCTGCCGGGCTTTTTCCTGGGATCAGGGGATTAAACTCATGTCCTTGCATATATAAAGCAAACACGGTACTGACTGAGCTGTCTCTGCAGCCTGGAAGCTTTCACTTTTGAGGCTGTATAATGAACTAAGATGAGAGACAAGCTCTTGACAAAGAGGAAAGGCCTTCTCTTAAAGAGGCTCAGAAGAGCAACAGGCCGGTTCCTTTCTACAGAAAATGCCTTGCTTCCCAGGTGACACTACTGTGCACATGCTTCTGGGGTGTCTGCTCCAGTGCCCCTGTGCTCTTTGTCACAGTCTGGTGGCAGGGGTGGCAGTGGATCTAACAACTTCAGACACATGTCAGCCTGCAGAGGGCACAAGCTGCATGGGAAGAGAAGGGTTTCTGGGAGACATGCCTGGCTTCATAGCTGTGGTTGTGGTCCAGGTTCTGTGGCTAAGTATATGCAGGGCCAGAGAGTGGACATGAGTGCTGGATAGAGAACAGGGGAAGGGTTTGGCCTTTTGACTGCAGCTTGGAAAACCAGAAGCCAGGATGATCTTTCCCCCACCTACCTGTCCATGCCCTGACCCTCAGGCCGCCCAGGCAACCTCTTCTGGCTTAGTGTCTTTTGATCCCGCCCGGAGACCAGCCTGCCACATCTGATCATGTCTACCTGTGGAGAGTACTCTAGCTGCAGCGCTGAACTGCACCAGAGAGCAGCCTTGCCTCTGAGGCCTGACCTGTGACTTCTCAGCTGACTAGTGTTACAGAGCTGTCTTAGATGTCACACCTCATTATTGATTCCCATCCGCCAATGGTCAGCCAATCCATTACAGACTCAGCCTTAATCTAGGATCTAGGAATCTGTGGTTTGGTCATTCTATTTCTCAGGCCTCTGTGCACTGCTGTGTGTTTGAACCCATCCTTCCAGTTGGTCCGGATTCTTTGAGACTTGCTCTGTCATCTGGCTCTGCACTGCCCCCTGCCCCATTTTGTGTAATTGGACATTAAAATTTAATTTTTCTCTAGGTGTTAAGTAGAGACAGGCTCTGAGGCAGAGCAAATGGCACCACCAGGTATTTATTAAGGGACATGGGATCTCAACTCTCTCTCTCTCTCTCTCTCTCTCTCTCTCTCTCTCTCTCTCTTCTTCTTTTCATTCCACCCCTACTCTCTTCACTCTATCTGGGCAGGTTTCTCTACAAATAAAGCCTTCTGCCAGCCCTGCCCCCAAAAGAGGAACCTCTGCCCCATGTCCTTTGTCTTCCCCAAACACATCAAAGGAAGAGACTGTGGCCCTTCCTAGCTATAATATCAGATCTCTTGGTTTTGAACATGGTCAGAGGACACTTGGCGATGGCAATGCTCCTGAGAGCAAGAGAGATGTTGCTGTCATGGTGTTGTAGAACAAAACTTTTACAGGGAGATGCAGCACACCTGTCTACTCACCCCAGAGAGAGGACCCACAACAGACCAACTTGGTGAACTGGTGCATTTCATTAAAGTTACTTACAGGAGTATAGGTGAGGGGTTGCTTACAAGAAGAGAAGTGACTCAGAGACATCTGCATCACCAAGGCCCACCCCAGCATGAGTGACAGCTCTCAAAGCTGGGAACATAGCCTGGAGTTCGGGGCATAGCCTGAAGGCAGCTCAACAGGTTGGAGAGTGTCCTTTCCAAGTGACTCAGTTCATCTACACCTCTTCAGGCAGTTCGCCTGATTTCTCTTTCTTCCAGGCAGCTGGTCTGCTGTCAGAGTCCTCTCTGCAGCTTGGCTTGTTTGAGAGGCTTGTTTTTGTACCTCAGCTTTGCTTTTCTGACAGGAAATTTCAACTTTTATTGCTTTCTCTGTCTAGGAGGGGCCTAGTGAATCTGGTCAGCTTCAGGGTCTTCCTGAAGCTGTTTTGAGTTGTTTACCTTCCTGTTTAAGGAGCTTTCCGGCAGGATGGAATATTTCAATCTTAGAAGAAGCTGTTACACAGCACATGTACCTGGACAGACATGTAGCCTTGCACTTATGGTGATAGAAGATGGTAAATTAGAGAAGATGTTGCTATGGTTCCAGGGGTTTTGACTGTTCTCAGGGGTTCAGCTTGGTCCCTAATATGTGATGATGGGTTAGCAGAGTCCTTAAGAGTTGGAGCCCACAGGGAAGTGACTCAGTCATTGGTACCACCACCCCCTTCCTTTAGCATTGCTGTGACCACTAAATAGAAATAACTTTTTTAAAAGGAGAAAATAGAAATTTAAAATTTTAATATACTGGCACATTTCCAGGCTGTTTGGCAAAGAAAAAAAATATGTTACATTAGTTCATAACTCTATATCAAAGTTTATTTATTCAAAATCTGATTTTATAAACACAAAATAAAAGAAATATAGATTTTATAAATATTTATTCAGAACACTAGTTATGAAGTATTAAAAATATCAGCCCCCGGTTTTCCTCCTTTTAATATATAAAATTCCCATAGACGTCATAAGAATTCCTCCTTAAGAGCCAAAACTTTCATTTTACAAATGAAAGTTCACAATCAAAGATAGTGCAAGGGAATACAGGTAGCATAAGTAAATCTAATTAACCATATATGCCTTCTGCATTTTTTAAATGCTCTATAAATCTTCCACTTAAATATGAGTGAGAGCCCTTGCCTGGCTGTGAAAAATGTATAAATTGTCACCCTTCCTCATGGATGACAAGGTTCCCATAACAGGAGCTGGGGAGAGATGTCACCACGCATGTTCCCTGAGGGAACCTGAGTCACAGAGAGAGACCCACTGTTTCCCTGATGGCAGCTTTGTCAATGGTTCATTAGTTGTTTCCCTTCACTGTTCTGACTGTTTGGTCACCAGCTCTGGAAGCCTGATCTATAATCATTGGCAAAGACACACCCAGACACCCAAACCCAGTGAAACGCAGGGCATAACCCCAGGCTGTTCCTTTCTTTCCTCTTCTGGGCTAAGCTTCTCTGTGACTGCAGTGTGTCAGCCACTGTCTCCCCCAACACTTCTGGAAAGAACTCTTTTAGAAACTGTGATACCCAGGGTCATCCATGTATTCATTTGAGCCTGGAGCTCAGCACTCTGCCCCCTCCCTTCCCCTTGGATTAATTCTGCCCCATAAAGACTGTCTTCGAATCACATGTCAGAGGGTGTGGCTGCCTTTACCCTCTTGGTCAATTCTTCATCTAAAGTATTTGTGTCTCCTCTCTTTACTGCTACCTGGAATCCATCTTTAGACTCAATTTGGTACATAGAGACAACAACTGATCCAAGATGCTTTGCCCCAGAGTTTACCACCAGGCCACTTGACTTGGAAGATGTCTCTTCAGCAGGAAGGCCCAGCTTTACAGTCTCAACTCACAGTATCATCTGGAAATCTGTCTCTGATGAAGACATAAAGTCAACCCAAATGTGAGGTCCATCACTCGTGAGAAAGCCATCTCTGTGACCGTCATCACCAAGCATCACATCTGTAGAGTGATGGCTGTGACGTTGCAAACCTTCTATGGGGCTCTGTTTGATGACAGTTCCTTCAGCTCACAGGTTCAGAGGGTTTCAACCCATCAAGGCAGGGCAGCTCCACTAATGGTGGGTGAGCATGTGGCAAAGGCTGTTCCCAGTGTGATGGACCAGGAAGCAGGACAGGAACCAGGCACCGACATCCCACCAGCTAGGCCCTACCTCAGAGGTTCCGAAACCTCTCAAAAAGTATCGCCTGAGAAGTATGAGCTTCTCAGGTTATTTTTTTTTCAGATTTTTTTATTTGAATTAGAAACAAGATAGTTTTACATGACAATCCCAGTTCCCTCTCCCGCCCATCCTCCCCTACCATCCCCCCCAACTAAAACCCTACCTATCACATATCCTTTCTGCTCCCACTGGATAGTGAGGCCTTCCATAGGGTATCATCAGAATCTATCGTATCCTTTGGGATAGGGCCTAGGCTATCTTGGCTCAGGGAATATTCCTCTATGTGGAATGGGCTTCCAAAGTCCACACCTATGCTAGGGATAAATACTGAACTACTACAGGAGGTCCCGTAGATTTCTGAGGTTTCCTCACTGGAACTTCTCCGGTTTAAAGCATAAGCCAGTTGGTTACATTTCAGATTCAAGCCGTGACATCCTTGGATGGGTTAAGGCTGATCTCATGGAGTCAGTTCTTTCAATAGTGGGGTTTTTGTTTGTTTGTTTGTTTGTTTGTTTATAAAAGAATGTCTAGTCTCTCGTTTCCTGTCTCTCCATGTGATCTCCTATACATGAGCTTCCATCCTTGTGGTGCCATCTGTTAAGAGGCCCTTACTGGAGCCAAGCAGATGCTAGCACCAGGCTCTTGGACTTTCAGAACTGTAATTGGAGTAAACCTCTTTTCTTTATAAATTATTCAGCTTCAGGTAATTTGTAATGGCAACCCCAAATTACCTAAGACAAAGTTGTCTCTCTCAGGTTCTCAGAGGGGCTCCTGGGGTGCTACTGGACAGCATAGGGCCCCTCAACTTCAAGGCTCTACAAAATGGACTTCCATTTCTGTCTTCTTCCACAGAGACTGTGACTATATTGCCATGAGAGGTGGAGGGCCTGATACTGGTATAAAATGTGGCTTAGGCCCTGAGAGTGAGCCAAGTCCTCTCATGACTAAGAAAAGAGAGGCAGCATAG